TGTGCTTGGGTGACCTGTGGGACGTGCTAGTGCTCTTCCCCACAGAGGTACACTCACACTGGCCCAGGACTTAAAGGGAGCTAAAGGCAGAGACTTGGGGTGGTGGTTATGTTCGTGTGTCAGCTTGGCTGGGCCCGGTTGAGTGGCTGGGCGGCTGGTGGTAGTTATTCCCCAGGATGAGACTGGCTATCAACTCCATAAGCAGCTGAGTAGCTGCCTTTGGGATGTGGTCTGCTTCCTGGATATAAGGAGAAGCTTTGGGAATGGTCTCTAGCCTATGGCATGCTTGGACCCTGCACGTAGCCGTGTCGTTGTTCAGCAGCCTGCCATGTTCTGCCTACCTTGGGACTTACAATGGACTTAAGTGAATGGCCTGCCTTGTAGTTTGGTAACATCGGGACTGTGCCTTTTGACTTGTCAGCCTTGGGGCTTCTCAGCCTCAGCAGCCAGCAGCTGTCTGAGTGAAGAAATGCCTCTAGCTCCAGTGGGCTGGGAGCAGAAGGCAGAGCTGGACCCCAAGGCTGAGGGGCTTTCCCCTAGAGCCTGGCACTTTGAACTTGGACTTAAAGCCACCAAATTATAAGAATAAACTCCTGTTTGTTAAGGCCATCCTGTTTGTGGTCTATTCTTATTCTTGTCAGAGTGGCACCAGATAACCAGAACACTTGGGGAAGTGGAAGAAGGCAAGCTGGGGGGTGCAGTCGACCAGGTGAGACTTCTGAGCATAAAATAAAATGGCTTTGTCTTCGTTTTCCCTTCCAACTCTCGTGCACATTTTTCTGCGGTCAACCGTAACCTGGAACCATAAAGCACAGGGAATTCTGGAAAGCTAGCTCCAACTTAACTCAATGGACATAGTAAACTGGAGGCCATCCTGATTCCTTTACTGTCTCCTCTGTGCACCTGGGGCAGCCACCTTCTTCTTCACAGGTGCCCTCGGCTCCCCCAGGCCCCCAGGGGTGGGTGGCTTTGCTTGGGTGCCAGCCCTGCAGCCCTCTGAGGGGCCTTTGGCCTGCCTCCTTGTCTCCACACTCCCCTTTGCTGCTGGAAGACAGGGCTCGGCCCTGGGAGAGGATTCTAAGTTTCCAGGGAACTCCTAGAGGGCAGAGTGTCTTAGTTTCCCAGTGCTACTATAACAAAAGATAATAAAACTAGGTGGCTTTTAAGAACAGGTGTTACTGTGTTACAGTCTTAAGGCTGGGAGTCCAAACCGGGCATCAGCTCTAGGGAAGGGCCTTCTTTATTGGCAGCCCCAGGTGTTCCTGGGCGTTCCTTGCCTGCAGACGGATTCTCACGTGGTCTCTTCCCTCTTCAGGGGTCTGTCTGTGCTCCCCTTCGTAAGACACCTCTCCGAAGGCCTTAGATTGAGGACCCACCCTACTCTACTCTAAGCTCATTGACATAACAAGAGAGAAACCCTATTTCCAAATCAAGCCATGTTCACCCATCCCAACCTGACCAACCCATAGTCATGGAGTGGATTTTGACTCACTCTGACCCTATAGGACAGAGAAGAACCATTTCATAGACTTTCTAAGGCTGTCAGTCTTTATAGGAGCGGAATTCCTCAGCTTTCTTCCATGGAGCACTTGGTGGGTTCCAAGAGCCAACCTTTTGGTTAACAGCAGAGTGCTTAACACTGTCTTTCAATCCATCCTCTGGGTGACGTATTTCAATCCCTAACAGAGCGCCACGCTGGGGGTGCTGGCCTCTGCAGCAGCCTCAGCCAGCTATGCATGTGCTCCTGAAAACTCATCCCAGTCTTGCTCAGGATCCTAGTGTGTCTGGGACGTAACTGATGGAAAAGCAAAAGCAGCAACTGAGGCAATGCCAGTGGGTTTGGCCTGTCCCAGAAACCATGATCAGGCTGCCTCTCCAGCCCTAAACCTTAGGAAGGATCTGGACTTTGAAACCTGTAAGGTGGTCACTGGAGGCACAGGGAGCTGCCAGGCTTGATCACCCTGAACCATGAGTCCTCACTCTTCCTGAAGTCTTTTGTTTCCCTGGCTGCTAGGAGGGCCTCTGGATTCTGTTCCAGTGGACCTGTCCCTAGAAAACCAGAACTGGAGTGTGCCCTCAGAGCAAGACTCCAGCTCCTATGCCAAAGTTGGCACTGTGGCGTGGGGAAACTGCAAAGGGCAGGTGAGTGTGACAGGGTGCCTCCAGGGTGTGGTTGGTGAGCAAGGAGGGGCTGAGCCACGCTGGACTTGGACTGCAGGTGGAATGGGAGGGCATGAGGAGGAGGCTGAAAAGACAAGGTGGAAAGGCAGGTCCAGGCCTGTGGGGAAGTCTGTCCATCTCTCCCAGAACGTGAGTGAAACACCCAAAGTTCTGGGCAGTGAGGACAGACACGAAGGGTGTGACAGGGTCTCCTCCAGCAGCCAGTCTGCTCTGTCCCATCAGGTGGCTGGGCTGTGTTGGGGAAGTGTCTGGCACTAGGCCAGAGTCCTTGACCTTATATTCAAAGGGGAAGAGGAAAGGCAATGGAAATCTCAGGTTCCCATCAGAGAAGGTGGTACAGCCTGAGAAGCCACCCTGCCCAACAGACACATGCACACACTCACTTGCGCTCACACAACATACATGCAAACACATTCACAGCACATATCAACCACACAATGTACATATATACGATCATATAAGTCACCTGTGCACACATCATATACATGCACACACACTCATACCACATAAAATCATACAGCACACATATGTAGACACACATGTACACATAAAAGCATACATGGACATACCTCACAAAACATACATGTGCACACATTTATACTACATATAAATCACTCATACACATATACCACACCTAACCACATCCATGCACCTGTGCGCATTACACCACATATACCTATACACACACACATGCTTGTGCACCCATGCACTCATACACACTGCATGCATTTGAATGCACACACATGCATATGCACACTTAAGTTGTGCCTGGAGGTCTCCCCTAATCCCAAAGACTCTTCCCTATACTCTCAAAGGCTCCTCTATGATCAGACCCACCCAGCTGGCAGCAAAAAGATGCCAACTTTACTTGGGGCTTGAAGGACTTATGCAAGAGTGTTGTTCACACCAGACTGGCTCCCCCTCAGCCTTCAGCCATAGGACTCAATTCCGGAAGACCGAGGTCCACCCACTCTGGCCCTGTACCTTGAGCTCCCTAAGCCTAGAGCCCACCTGCCCTGCCACCTTTTATCCAGACCTGCCCAACCTGTAAGCCTCATCCTCCTCCAGAGGCTCTGTCCAACTCTGGGCCAGATGTGAACAGCAGCTCTTCATCCCACTTACCACAAAGTGTCCATTCGTCCAGATGCCTCCCAGGGGAATGATGGGAGAAATGGCAGGAAGCCTGACTGCCAGAGGACCTGAGCACACAGCAGCCCTCCTGGCTTCCTCTGAAAGAGGTAATGTGTATGTAGTGGGGTAGTCCCTGTGCTCCCAGCCCTGCCTGGCCAGCCCCAGGGGAAGGGGAAGGATCAGGACCAATGCCACTTTGCTAAGCAAGGCAGAGGGCTAGTTGGCGCCATACTTGGAAATGTACACACAATTTAAGGAAGAGAGATTTCCCATGTGAAGTGGTAGAAAATGTTATTGGTGAACTTGATCATGTCTATGCATGGGAGGGGCTTATCCAGTCCCAAAATGTCCTCACTGGGTGATCTGTGGGCATGGTCACCCTGAAGGGTCCAATCCATGAAAACTCTCTGGGGCTGAAAGAAAACAGTACCAGTTGGGAAGGATGGAAACCTCTCCCTATTCGGCATCAAAGATGGGTGGGGGCTTGGTCACATGGTACTGCCCGAGGAGGCTGGGAACTTCTGGATAACTGGACTAAAAACAGTGCAAAAATAGCAGAGCTCGTGGGGTGGGATCTGGCTCTTTGGAAAAATGCATGTGTTTGTCCCCATTCTCCCAGAAGCCCCACAAGTACCTAGAGATTTTCACTTGCTAAATAATCTGTTGTCATCACTGCGCCGTGGTGAGATTTTCGAGTTTTAGGGTATTTCCAATTAAAGTACTGTGAGGGGTTTCCCAACAAACAATAGCATCAGCTGAATACTGGCTTCCTCACCAGGGGAACTAATGACCTCTTGGGCAGGACACTTTGCTATGAGGTGCGATGCTGTGCATCATGAATGTTTAGATGCCCCGACCCCTAGCCACTAGATGCCAATGGACCACCAGTATCATTCCCATCCATTTCCAGATGCTCCAGAAAATAGGAACATCCCAAGCTGAGCACCAATGGAACTCCGAAACATTAAAATCTACCTTTAAGATAGAATAAAAGCTCTCATCATGTCACAGCCTCCTGGTCTCAGTGTGACCCTCTAAGTGGGAGATGGCTCCACAGGACCTGGCAGGGATCATTTTCTGCCCCCTACCCCCACCCACAGCAGAGGCAAGACTCAGCAGAAACATTCAACAAGATTTATTGAAGAGAAACATGCAACTGGAACTGGTGAAGGGAAGGGAATTGCAACAGGGAATACAGAACCACCACGAGAGGCCACACGGCATCCCTCCCCCTGGGATCCCTACTGAGGAATGTCAGCCACCCCCCATACTGTGGCCTGCCCCATTATCGGTCTCTGGAACTGCTGAAGGGAAGGGAATCACAACAGTGGGAATGTAGAACCACCACCAGAGGCCCCTAAGGCCTCCCTCCCCCCCGGGATCCCTACCAAGGAACCTTTGCCACCCAAGCTTTGTCCCTCTCCCTGGCCCAGGGCCCCAGATTACACCTCCCTGGAAACAACGGACTCTGGTACAATGTCCATTCACTACAGGGAACCCCTCTTTGGCCCTCTACTGGGACACTGCTCTGCCTCGTGGTCCCCCGGAACAGTCACAGAAAAACACTGGAAATTCAGCAAACAGGTCACCATGCAAGGAAACTGAGTCACAAACAACAGCAAGAGTGATGCATCCTGCAGCCTGCCCCTTCCTTCCTTATGTGGTTACAGAATGAGGGTCGCCATTGCTTAGGCAAGGCCCGAGGGCCCACAGCCTGCATCTTCTGGGTGTGCCCCAGAAGCACCACCCACCTGAGCTGGGGTGGGAGCACTTTCAACTTCCTGGGTGACTGGGATGCCCTCTGCAGCAGCACTGGTTCCTGCAGCAGCCTCAGCGGTGTCTTCAGCGTCGTGAACAGCCTCACTGGCCTCTTCAGCGGCTGGAGCAGCCTGGGTGACATCTTCATCAACTGGGGCAGCCTGTGCAGCAGCCAGGGCACCACCACCTCTATCAGCCCCTTCCTCCATGTGGGACAGCACCTGCCTGGCCTGGGCAGCCTCCAACGCCTCCGTCTCCTGAATGAGCTGCAGCAGCCCCAGGAGGCCTGGAGGCCGCCCCTCCATGCGCATCCTCCTCAGCCTGTTGTAAAGCATGGGACTCAGGTGAGCCCGCATTAGCAACTGCCGGGCACGCACCTGGTCTGCCATGGCCGGGTGCACTGCCCCCTTCTCCGTGGCCGCCTGCAGCAGGCCTTCCTGGCGCATCACATAGGCAAACAGGCTCTCCCCGGGCTGCTGGGTGCAGGTGAGGAATTTAAACTGTGCAGTCATGAGCGCATCCTGGGCCCCAAACACCTGCATCAGTGCAACCAGGCAGTCCTGTGCAGTGAGGCTGGGGTCTTCTGCCAGGAGGCCACACAGGATATCCAGGGCTGGGCCACTCAAACACTCGACCAGCCTTCTCCTCCTCTCCCTCTCTGGCACGTGGCGCCACAGGTAGAGCATGTCATAGGCATGGTCCAGCCAGCCCTCAAAGGGCTCTTCTCCAGGGCCTGGTTCTTCCCGCCCAGAAAAGGGTCTCAGCTCCTGGTAGGTCAGGCTCTCCAGCATGGGCTGCAGGACGTGCCTCCACTGCTGTGCCCAGGTTTCGGCTATGTCTGCGCCTCCTGCGCCACCTAGGGCCGCTGCCACAACCTCGTACCCTGCATCTCCTGTGGCCCCTGCATCTCCTGTGGCCCCCGCATCTCCTGCAGCTCCCGCCTCATCTGCGGCTCCTGCCACAATCTCAACCTCCATCTCACCTGCAACTTCCATGTTCTCCAGCCCTGCCTCGCCGGCAGCTCCTCCATCACCTTCGACTTCGGCCACATCCTCGAGCCCTGCCTCACCTGGGGCGCCCGCATCGCCTGCGGCTCCTGCCACAATCTCAACCTCCATCTCACCTGCAACTTCCATGTTCTCCAGCCCTGCCTCGCCGGCAGCTCCTCCATCACCTTCGACTTCGGCCACATCCTCAAGCCCTGCCTCACCTGGGGCGCCCGCATCGCCTGCGGCTCCTGCCACAATCTCAACCTCCATCTCACCTGCAACTTCCATGTTCTCCAGCCCTGCCTCACCGAGAGCTCCTCCATCACCTGCAGCTCCTCCATCACCTTCGACTTCGGCCACATCCTCAAGCCCTGCCTCACCTGGGGCGCCCGCATCGCCTGCGGCTCCTGCCACAATCTCAACCTCCATCTCACCTGCAACTTCCATGTTCTCCAGCCCTGCCTCGCCGGCAGCTCCTCCATCACCTTCGACTTCGGCCACATCCTCGAGCCCTGCCTCACCTGGGGCGCCCGCATCGCCTGCGGCTCCAACCATGTGCTCAACTCCTGCCTCACCTGCAGCCCCTGCCTCGCCTGCAGCCCCTGCCTCGCCTGCAGCCCCTGCCACATTCTCCACTCCTGCCTCAGCTGGGGCTCCTGCATCACCTGCAGCGCCTACGTTGCCTAGAGCACCTCCCTCACCTGCAAATTCCGCCACAAGCTCTAGTGCCTCACCTGCAGCTCCTGCATCACCCGCAGCTCCTGCATCACCCGCCACATGCCCAACTCCCACCTCACCTGCAGCATCTGCCATGTTCTCAGCGCCTGCCTCACCTTCCGCTTCTGCCACATTCTCAAGACCTGCCTCACCTTCCGCTTCTTCCTCATCTGGGGCTCCTTCTTCACCTTCAGCTCCTCCCTCGCCTGCAGCTCCTGCTCCATTTACCGCTACCATCTCACCGGAAGATCCAACTACACCTGCAGCTCCTCCTTCAGCTGGGACTTCTGCCTCATCTGAGACCTCCACCACACGTGCAGTTCCTGCCTCACCTGTGGCCCCTGCCTCACAAACGGATCCTGCAACATGCTCAATTCCTGCCTCACCTGTGGCTCCCGCCTCACCTGCAACTCCTGCCACATTCTCAACTCCGGCCTCACCTGCCATTCCTGCTACACCTAGACCTCCTGCCTCATCTGCCTCCCCAGCCACTTCTTGCCCCTGGGGCTGGAAGATCACTCTCCAGGGCCCCTCTCTGCCTGGTATCTGTTGGGGGATCAAGCTGTGGTCTAAGCAGTCATCAAATTCGACCAAGGCGACCTTCTTCCCCAGTTCCCTTCTGAAGACCTTGCCCAGCACTCGGTATCTGCCCAGGGGCCTCAAGGCAGTCCACACAGCCTCCTGGAACTCATCCTCCTCGCAGTCATCAGGGATGCCCACAAGGAGCAGGCAGTGCTGTTCGTTCACGCCCATCCACCGGCACCAGTCCCGCAGCATCGCCAGCGTCATGGCTATGGACCTGGTGTGTGGGGGGGTAACCAGATAGGAGGAGGGTTGAAGTCTCTGCGGTCTCTAGACGGAGAGAGACTCGAAACACTGGGTGCCGCACACCCCGCCCTACCACCCAGGCCCGGGTCCTGGAGCCCACTTGTCACAGATGTACCAAGGCCTCACTGCTGGGATTGGCACCTCCCTCCCATAGCTGGAAGCCTGCATGTCCTCCTCCTTTGTTCTGCTTGCTTTGTGTGTGTGTTCAGGCAAGCTTATTATTGATAACTAGATTTCTTTACAAGGTCTGTTGTGCTGCAGTTAGGTGCAGTTGAGTCAGTTGTCGATTCCCAGTGACCCCGAGTGACAGGGTAGAACTGCCCCATCGGGTTTCCAGGCTGCACTCTTTTCAGAAGCAGATCAACAGTTCTTTCTCATGCAGAGCCTCTGGGTGGGCTGGAACTACCAACCTTTCCGTTAGCAGCCAAGTGCTTAATTTTAGAAGACATACAGATATTAATATTTTCTATTTGATCTGCTAGCAGCTTTGTAGGGTGCTTTACTTCTGAGCTATCTATTTTTCCTAAGTTGTCAGTATTTTTGGCATAAAATTCTTGATGTGACCCCTCATTCTCATCTTAACGCCTCCATGCTCTGTAGTAAAAACCTCTCTTTCATCCCTGACAATGATCATTAGTGTTCTTTCACTTTTTTTCTACATTAGTCTTGCTACCCATTTTGCAGCTCTTTTCAAAGAACCTACTAGTGGATTCCTTCCCTTTCTCTAAGTCTGTCTGCTCATTCATTGACTTCCTATGCTAACTCTGTGCTTTCTTTTCCTCTACTTCTCTTACGCTTACCTCGCTCTTCTTTGAAGCTCAGGCTTCTTCAAACGGAAGATTAGGTGGTTGATTTTACGCCTTCCTCCCCAGAAAGCTGGAAGCTGTGTAAGGCAGAAGCGTGTCAGGGAAGGAGAACACGAGTATTTCCCACTGAGCTCAGCCCTACAAGAGTGGCACCACTGCACCCTATCAAAGGCAGGAAACTTGCAAGGCAAAAAGACAA